TTACGTTCACGACAAAAAAATTCAGCTGCAAATGATCTGCGTTACAGAGGTGTGCGTATGTGTTGCGTCCGCTATGCTTTCTTTTATAACGCACGATGCGCTGTATCCGTTGGTTGTGCGTTTGTGTAGGCGTGCGTGCGTTTTACGTTCTCCCCGGCTCTCCACTCATCCTCACTCCCACTCCTCCCTCCGCCTGCGTGGCATGGCCGCTATGACTACTATCTCTTTCTCTCTATCTCTCCCATACCTCTATCTCCATCTGCGTCTCTCTTTCCTCCCTCTCTCCATCTATACTTTTATCTCTATCTATGTCTTCCATTTCCTCCCTCTCTCCCATACCTCTATCCTTCCTATCTATGCCTCTCTTCCTTTCTCTCCTCCCATACCTCTATCGTCACCTATCTTACGTCTCTCTTCTTCCTTTTTCTCCGCCATACCTCGTATCTCTATCTACGGTCTCTCTTCCTCTCTTCGCTCCCATTACTTCTATTTCCATCTTTACGTCTTCTGTATTTGCCGTCGCTCTTCACACAATACCTCGTTATCTGTATCTACGTCTTTCTCCTCCTTTTTCTCCCATACCTCTATCTTCGCATCTAGTCTCTCTTTCCTCTCGCTCTCCTCTACCTCGCCTCTCCTCTCCCTTTACCCTGTCTTCTCGTCACTCTCTTCCCTCTTCCCTTTCCTCCGCCTACATCTTTTCCTCCTCCCATTTTCTCCCCCAGCTGCTTTCCCCTCGACCTTTTCTTCTGCACCTATTTTCTCGCCTCTTCTCTCGCTTGCCCTCTCTCTCTTTCTTTCTTTTTCTTTCACCAATATCTCTCTTACGTCTTTCTCTCTTGATCTTACTTTCTGTTATTGTCTACTCTCTTGTCTGTCGGTCTCTCTCTACTCTCTCTCTATCACTCTCTCCTCTCTCTCTCTCTCTCATTCTCTCTATATAAGTTATTATATATATGTATATATATATATATGTCTTCTCTCTCGCCCCTCGTCTCTCTCGTCCTTTCTCTTCCTTTAGCTAACTCTTTCTTACTTATGTTCTCTCTATCTTCTTCCTCTCTCTCTCTCTCTCTCTCTCTCTCTCTCTCTCTCTCTCTCTCTATCTCTCTCTCTCTCTCTCTCTTTCTCTCTGAATATCCCCTCTCTTAAATGGCGTAACTGCGATCTCTCATACTATATAAAGGCTCTATATCACCGAGTCACTATGTGGATTTTTCTACTCGTCATATTTCTTATGAGTTGAGTTCGTGTGAAGTAATAAATCCAGCCATCGCTTATGATAGCATTATCGCACCTGTCATTTCACGTTGACTCACCCGATGGACTTGTGCCTACCTCTGCCATCCCGCGACCCCGGCACGGTCACGTATCCACAACTGCTGACTATTCTTATCAAGCAAGCAAACATCTTCTACGTTTACGACAAAAAATATCTCTATCTCTATCTACGTCTCACTTCCTCCCTCTCTCCCATACCTCTATCTCAATCTACGTGTCTCCTACTCCATCTCTACCATACCTCTATATCTATCTACGTCTCACTTTCTCTATCTCTCCCATACCTCTATCTCCATCTACGTGTTTCCTACTCCCTCTCTCCCATACCTCTATATCCATCTACGTCTCTCTTCCTCCCTCTCTCCCATACCTCTATCTCCATCTACGTCTCTATTCCTCCCTCTCTCCCATACCTCTATCTCCATCTACGTCTCTCTTCCTCCTTTTCTCCCATACCTCTATCTCTATCTACGTCTCTTTTCCTTCCTCTCTTCCATACCTCTATCTCCATCTACGTCTCTCCTCCTCCCTCTCTCCCATACCTCTATCTCAATCTACGTCTCTATTCCACCCTCTCTCACATACCTCTATCTCCATCTACGTCTCTCTTCCTCCCTCTCTTCCATACCTCGATCTCCATCTACGTCTCGCTTCCTCTCCCTCTCTTCTACCTCGCTCTCCTCCCCTCTTCCCTATATCTTCTCTTCACTCTCTTCCCTCTTCCCTTTCTCCGCTACATCTTCTCCTCTCTCTCTCCCCTCCACCTGCTCTCGCCTATTTTTCTCCTCTTTCTCGCTTGCCCCTTCTCTCTCTCTCTTTCTTTATTTCTCTTTCACCCATATCTCTCTTCGTCTTTCTCCCTTGATCTTACTCTCTGTTATTGCCTACTCTCTGTCTGTCTGTCTCTCTCTCTCTCTCTCTCTCTCTCTCTCTCT